TAGGGGGTATCGATACCCTGGGGTATCGATACCCTCATGACATTCTGAAATTCTGCTCGTTTGAGAGGATATCGGTACCCCTTTGAATGGGTATCGATTCCCCTAGCCCAGAAATCATTTTTCAACTACGAAAATTCACTATTCCAACTTTAATTCTTCATATTTCAACCCCTTTTATACTCTTAACTCATATATACATACTTAAACTAATTTACACCCATTTATTTCATCTTAACCCTCAAAATTCTATTCTCCATATAGAAATCAATAATCATACCAAATTTTTCATGTTACCCAAACTTAATTCTAACACTTCTAGCTTCTTATTCTCATAGATGACAAGTCAAATTCATAATTAAAACTTCAAAAACCTCTTTATTCGAACAATTCATTTCTACACCCTTCACATAATTTCCTCTTTAATTCACTATTTATGATGTTCAAAGCTTATATAAGCTTTCCTTAAGCTTATATAACACCCAAAGAATCAAAACCAACTTATCAATCCAAGAATTAAATACATGAAATTATACTTACCTTTAACTGAGGCTTACAGGGAGAAGAAGAAGCTGAGGAAGAAGAGTCTGGATACATTTGCTCATTTCTCACGTTTTTATACCCTTAAAAAATAAATATATTCTCTTAGAAAAGACCATAATACCCTTGTTATTTCCAAACTCTACCATTAAATCCAACATCAAATTTCTTCAATTAAATCCATGAACTTTTAACTTATTTCGAAATCGAGCATAAAATTTTCAAAATTTACAATTTAGTCACTGACCCTGATTCAAGATGTTACAAGAAACCTGCTATGGTCACTGTGATTAATGATAAGTCCCAATTTACTTATAAACCTGGGATTTTAAAGGCTAAACCTGATGATTTTCCAGCTCCTAAGAATAGTTCTAAGCCTAATAATCAAATGGGTGAAAACAGTGAACCTAGACCCATTATGCTTGGTTCTGAAGTTGATAAACGAGGCCCATAGGGTTCCTGTAATACTTCAGGGTTGATGTAGCATCAACCTAAGATTGAATTGTTGTTCTTAGAAGGGGTCAATCCTAGAGGGTGGCTCTAAAAATGTATTAAATATTTTTCCCTCTGTAGTGTCCCTGCATCAGAGGGTAGAAGTAGCCACTATGTATCTAACGGGTAAGCCATGGATTTGGTTCGATGGCTATATCATGCAGAAACACCATGTGATGTGGCATGAGTTTGAAGCAGATCTTTGTCACGGGTTTAGTGATCGATCCTTTTTTTGATATAGTGGAGGAATTTGCAAAGCTGATTCAGAAAGGTTCTGTTGAGGATTATAAAAAATGATTTAAAGAGCTACAACCTCACATGCTATTACAAAATCCTACCTTAAGTGAGGATTTCTTTGTATCACTTTTTATCAGTGGGCTTAGTGAAGACATTAAACACAGGGTTAAGGCTCTAGATCCTAAAACTATGTCTGAAGTATGCAAGCAAGCTAAGCTTTATGAATTATATGTTGAGTTTGAGAACAGAAGAATGCGACCATCTTTTAAAAACGCACCCTACCCAAACCCAATAATTACTTCTAAGCCAAAACCACTACCATTACCTCCCAAGACAACATTCCTACCACCTCCAAAATAGAACATTGACTACAGAAGGCAAAATTATCTTTGTTTTAAGTGTGGTGAGAAATTTGCTCCATGTCATCAGTGTAAATCGAGACACCTAAACATGATTACTGAAGAAAACACCACTACTCCCTTAGAGGTTTTTCCTAGTGATTCAGACCAACCTATACTGTAAGAAGAAGAGAACCTACAGATTTCTATGAATGATATTACTGGTTGCATTGGTCATAATACATTGAGAATCCAAGGAACTATTCAGGGTAAACCATTAAATATTTTGATTGATAGTGGTAGTACCCATAATGTTTTAACCCCACAATGGGCTGATGATGGAATACAAATAACTACACCTTACCCTTTGGCCATTACTGTATCTAATGGACATCAACTTTTCAGTTCAACTAGATGCAATAAGGTTGAATGGAAAATACAATGTCACTCTTTTATACATGATTTTAGATTGCTTAAACTGGGTGGAAGTGACATGGTCCTAGGGGTTGAATGGATGAATTCGAAGTTATTTAGTCCAATACTAATGAATTTCAACATTATGACATTAAGCTTTGACCACTAAGGAGATCAGATTGTTATTCAGGGTCAACAACCATCTACTACACCACAACAAATTTTAGGGGCTACATTACTAAAAATGACAGCATGGGATTCAGATATTATGGGCCACATTATCTGCTAAGTATGACAAAGAATCCTCAACCTATTCATACTGAAATCCAACCCCTATTATAAAAGTACAGTGTAATTTTTGTTGAACCTGAAAGTCTATCACCAGAAAGAAGTCATGACCATGCCATTCTACTCAAACATGATTCTACACCTGTTAATTTAAGATCTTATAGGTTTGCTCAATCATAAGGCTGAGGTAGAAAAACATATTTCTAGCATGCTCTCTTTCTCTATTATACATCCTAGCATGAGTCATTTTGCCTCTCCATGTCTCCTTATTAAAAAGAAAGATGGCACTTGGAGATTTTGTGTAGACTACAGGCAGTTAAACAGTATGACAGTAAAGGATAAATTTCTTATTCCTATGGTAGAGGATTTACTACATGAATTAAATGAGGCAGTTTATTTTCTAAAATTGATATGAGATCGTGATACTAGAAAATTAGAATCAAATCAAAGGACATTTACAAAACCTTCAGGACACTTCAAGGCCATTATGAATTCAAGGTGATGCCTTTTGGCCTTACCAATGCTCCTGCTACATTTCAGGCTCTTATGAATGAATTATTTAGTTTTTTCCTTATAAAGTTTATATTGGTGTTCTTCGATGACATTTTGGTGTACAACAGCAGTACGAAGGACCACATTAATCATTTACAGAAGGTTTTAGAAGTTTTGCAAGCGAACCAATTATTTGCAAAATTATCCAAATGTTTTTTTGGACAAAATCAGGTGGAGTACTTAGGCCACATCATTTCAACTGCAGAAGTGGATACTGACCCTAGCAAAGTGAAAGCAATGCAAACTTGGCCTATGCCTAAAGCCCCTAAGTCTCTGTGCGGTTTTATAGGTTTAACAGGTTACTACCGAAGATTTATCAGAAACTATAGAGTCATTAGCAGACCTTTGACACAACTGCTTAAGAATAAATGTTTTAAGTGGAGTTCTAAAGCTTTTACTGCCTTTGAAGACCTTAAAAAAGCTATGTGTTATGCTCATGTCTTAGCATTACCAGATTTTTCTAAGAGTTTCTATCTAGAAACGGATGCTAGTTCTGGGAGAATAAGTGATGTACTCTCACAAGATGGTCGACCTATTACTTATCTTAGTAAGGCTCTCAGCCCTCGACATTCTGCCCTTTCCATATATGAACGTGAATACCTTGTTATCTTATTAGCATTTTCCAAGTGGAGACATTATCTGGAAAGCAAACCTTTTGTTATTAAGACTCCCTTGAAGTATATTTTGGAGCAAAAGTTGACTACCACTATTCATAAAAAGGGGTTGACCAAACTGTTGGGACTGGACTACACTATTCAGTACAGAAAATGAAAATCTAATGTGGTTGCATATGCCTTATCCAGGCAGTGGAAAGATCAAGCTCAATGCTTTGCTATGGGAGTGACGTTGTTAATACCCAGTTGGGTTCAGGAGGTAGAGGACAACTACAAGGAGGAAAAGCTAGCTACTGAATGGATTTTAATCCTGGATGTCAGTCCTATTGCTGACACTAGATGAAAATATTCAAAGGGTGTCATCTGATACAATGGAAGGGTATATATTGGGACTGTTGTAACTCTTAGACTACAAATCCTTCAAACCTTTCATGATTCCCCACATGAAGGTCATTCAAGAGCACATGCTACATATCACAGGATAAAATCTAGTTTTTATTGGCCTAGACTTAAGGCTATAATGGCTACTCATTTGAAGTGTTGTGCAGTTTTTCAGCAAACTAAGGTGAAACATATAGCAAAGCCTGGATTGTTACAGCCCCTGTCTATTCCTAACCAAGCCTGGGAAATCATTACAATGGATTTTATAGAGGGCATGCCTACATCCCTAAGGAAAAATTGCATCCTAGTTGTAGTGGACAAATTCACCAAATACAGTCATTTCTTGGCACTGTCTCACCCTTATTCTACAGCTGAGGTAGCTAAATTATACCTAGACAATGTCTATAAACTACATGGTCAACCTAAAATGGTCATTTCCGACAAAGATAAGACATTCACTAGTGTCTTTTAGAGGGAACTGATGAAACAACTGGGCACTAGAACCTTGTTTAGTACTGCTTACCATCCAGAAACAGATGGCTAAACAAAGAGGGTCAATCAATGTTTGGAACAATATCTCCGAGGACTCTGTTTTTTTCAACCTAAAAAATGGGCTAAATGGTTACCCCATGCCGAGTAGTGGTACAACACCACCTACCACACCGCCATACGACTCACTCCTTTCCAGGCCCTCTATGGCTACAAACCCCCAACTATGTATGGCATACAGACTCTCAAGTACAAACTATTAGTGAAATGATGAACAACAGAGAGGAAATTCGACAACTAGTTAAACAGCAATTGGAATTGGCTAGCAATAGAATGACGCAACATGCAAACAAGAAAAGATCAGAGAGAGTATTCGAAATTGGGGACGAGGTTTACCTCAAATTGCAACCTTACAGACAAACTTCACTAGCCTTGCGAAGGAATCTGAAATTGGCAGCCAAGTATTATGGTCCATACAAGATTCTGGAAAAAATCGGAGAAGTTGCATATCGTTTAGACTTACCTGCGACATCACGACTGCACCCCGTATTCCATGTTAGCCTACTGAAGAAACGCATTGGGGGAATCATCGACATCTGCTACCGATCCTCCTGCAGTAGATGAAGATGGTCAGTTCAAAATCCAACCCTTGAAGATAATGGGCAGGCGTATTGTTAATCGTAACAACAAACCGGTGACTCAACTTTTAGTTCTATGGGAGAATCTGGATGAAGCAAATGACGCTTGGGAAGATTTTTCAGTTCTCAAGGGCCAAATTCCAACATTTGATCCTTGGGGACAAGGATCATCTCAAGGGGCAAGTATTGTCACAGTAGGAGAATAAGGGAGACGAGGAAACAAGAAAGAATTGGGAATTGAAGAGTGAGGGTTAGGGATTGAAGGGAATGAATTGGGAAATTTATAGAACACGTGAATGGCAGGTGAGTATTAACTTACCCGGTTGAGTTGGAGCAGCCTAAATCCGGAAGCCCAGTACCTGCAGAAGAGAAGAAAAGATAGAGTTAGTTAGTAAAGGACAGCCACCTGGCATCCTTAGATTCTCAGTACAATTTGTAACTAAATAAGACCTGTATGCTGAGTCAATTTCCTCATGACTTGAATGAATGAACTTCTCATTTTCTCTATATTCCTTTCTTCTTTTCTGCTATCTTTCTTTCAATTAATTCTCTCTTCTCTTGAACTATAACATACTTTTATTTCCAGAGTTTCCTGATGGATCTTTTCTGGATTATATGTTTCACTTTTCTTTAAAATCTATCCGTATTTTTCAACTAGTTGGTTTGTTGAATGCCTTAAATTTTGTAATAGTACTGGACTATTGCCTAGACTTCTGTGGTGGTTAGAGTCTACTTTGTTGTGAATGTTTTCGGCCTACAGTAATGATAATTGATTATTGTCGTTTTGCTTTTGTTGGCTAAACTATCTAATCTTCTTGATCAGCACTATCTCTGCTACTTTCATTTGACCTCCATTTCTCCTCACTAATGCAGAAGGCTAAGAAGCAGAAAGTTGGTTCGGTTGACAGTAAAACAAATATCCCTATGAAAAAAAGAACAAGAACTATAAAATCACCTGGTAAAGTCCCACAGGTTTTGACAGCAGCTACATATAGCTATTGGTAAATGTACATTGATTTAATAATTTGTTTAAAATAATGTGAAACATATTTTCAGCTGAGGAAGGAATTATAGAGATTGCAGAAGAAATTAATGAAGGGGAGGTTAAAACAAAGGGAGTTGATATGCCTATCATCTCTGGATTAACAACAAAGTTCACAAAGACTTTACGGAATGGGAAATCTTTTCAGATAAGGGATCTTCTGAAAAATGTAAATGATTCAGTCAGCAATAGAAACATGTCAGTAGTCTCTGGCTGAGATAAAACTGCTATTAAATTTGAAGTGGCGTAAATTCTTAGTAGGAACCAAGTCTTGAAAGTGTTTAATATTGCACTTAGAGGTCAACTGAATATTTTTTTATAACCTTCACCAGTACCATCCTCAAGTGCTAATGAAAGTCGAGCAATTTACCATAATGTGCCTGGTTTTGGACTTGGTTTCTGAAAGTACTCGCATGTAAACTTTGTTGTTGTAAATTATTCTGAACCCCTGAAAATGAAATGCTGTCACCTCCATTTTCATGAAACTCCCCCACCCTCTTTAAACATTAGGTCATCCTCTCTTTTTTCTTGTGAGCAAAATGTGTAGATGTGCTACTGGTATAATGGAAATGGCTCGTAGAAAGTAAACAAAATTATCTGTTTTTTTTCAATTAATGCCTAATTAACTGGCGTTTTCGTGTGTTAGCTCATTTTGCTGAATTTTTTTTCTTTTTCTTAAGCCTGGTTCCCGTCTTCTTTATCTTGCTATTCTATCAAACATGGAATAAGAATCCCCTTGGTGACTTATTTTCCTACATATATTTTCTTTTGATACTTCTTTTAACTGTTGATCTTATTTATATAGGAAACGAAGGAGCATAAAGTTGGTATAAGCAATCAAAATGGAAAGAGGGGAAAACCACGAAAATCAGTAGTTACAAGTCCAAAAGCTTTTGTTGCTGATATATAATAATTAAGCTTTAGCTCTTTTACGGGTGTATATGTAAACTTACTGTTATGCTTTCTAGGTAAGGAGCAAAATGGAACTGGAGGTCTTGCTGATAAAGAAGTTGTAAAAGACTGTATGAGTAATGAAGCTGATTGGTCAAAACAGAAAAGGATGGAGCTGGCAGGTAAATGAGACTCTCCGCTCTTTGGGATGCACTGGGGTAGGCACTTCCAATGTTTAACCCAAGTTTATGAGTTAATATTTTCTTAAATGAGTTTTCCAAGTGGTTTACTAAATGATAGTAGAATAATGGTAGGTACCGTAGGAATTAATAGGAAAAAAAGGTTGGACTAGTGATTCACATGAAAGGAAAAGTTTGTGGCTTGGGGATAAGAGACAAGAGGGTGATACTGGGAGGAAATTTTCTGCATGTTATCAATCACACTTTTACCATATTTTTCTGTCAGTTACCTGACTTTTATATATAATTGTGTATGTTTTTTCTTCCGTAGTTTATGGTTGCTCGGTTTATAATTGTGAACTAACATTTTACTTGTTAATTGTATAGCCTCTCAAGATGCATTGAGAGGAAGGACGAGTGATGATCCCAAAACAATGGAGGTTCACTTGCCGAGTGCTGGGATTTCCAACATGCTGATGAGGATCTACCTCTATCAGCATGGATAGGAGCAATCCACTCTTCAGGTGATGAAGATTTACGTAAGCTGCTTCATCAGATTTATGAATCCTCATTTTCTTTTGTTGGTCATTTCCTCTCTTTTCTCGCTAGGCCGTGTACAGAATGTAGTTCATCACTTGTATATTTATGAAATTGTTGAGTATGCTTGATTCCGTTCTAGGACTTTCCTGTGGTAAGCATGTCAATGAATGGAATCAGGGAAGTGGACAGGTTGATGTTCTGGTAGAATCTCTTGTTATGGATGCCAAAAGTGGAAGCTCGTTGGATGAAGACCGGAGTTTGCCTTTCTTGAAGAAATCATGACTCTGGCGAACAATTGAATCTATGTATGTCTTCAAAATTGTGCCCCAAAAGCCACATTTTCAACCTTCGGCTGAAAACAGAGAGGAGTTTTGTGAAGGATCAGCAATTGGTATCATGGTAACCTTTGCCAGTTTGTTTGAGAAGATATCGACGTTGTGTATTGATGATCCTAGAGATACATTTGATAGCTTTTTTGAAAGTCTTAGTCATTTGGAAAAACACGGATTTGATGTTACATTGCTTCAATACCGCTTGAATAAAGTACTATCGATCAAGGAAGGATACGGACAACATGTAGGAGAGATAGAAAATGTTGAAAGGGAGATGATTGAGAATATAGAGGAGGTAACTAAATTGGATAAAGAGATGAAAATGATCGAAAACAAAATTACTGAGTTACAAGAACGACGTACCGTCATAAAGTCTGAGAAGGAGGCTAAGAATCTGAAGATTGCTGGTTTGAAGTTGCATGTTGGTGTTCTGAGTGAACATGTTCAGAAAAGTTTGATTTTAAAAAAATTAGCTACTACCCCTTGGAAATTGTGTGATCTCGGGTACGATAGGCATGGTTTCTTGTTCAAGATGCTAAGACTCCCGGGGCACAGGTGATGATTTTTGTCGTAAAATACGTGGATTCAACTGTAGCCATTTAGATATGGGTAGGTCACATGACTTGAGTAAAAGGTCAATTTTTATATTGGGTCTCCATGTAATAGTCGTTTCACACACATAGCTTATGGTCTATGGCGTCAGTTACGTTTAGAAATGTTGTTTCAAAGGCAAAAATGGACCCTCTTCCTAGATTAACATATTGAAAATATTGAATATCAGCTGTTGTGGAGCCCTTTTCTCCTTTTGCGTGTTGTTGTTTAACCTTGTATATTTACTCGATGGATCTGAGCAGCCAACACAAATGTTAATAAAAGAAAACACCTGAAATAATCATTGATTTAACCTTGGTCATCTTCAAACTTCAGTTTATTGAATGTGGATGTGAGTAGTCGGATGCAAGGCAAGACAAGAATGGATGGTGCAATAATTTTTACTTTTAGATGCTAGTTAAGTTCGTGTTTGCTATTTTGATTTTGGTCCATTGTTCATATTTGTATATATTTTTCAATTAATCATGGAATACCCTGTAAAAATCTACTTAGGAAGACCCTGGAATAATTTTTCTAGAACTATAGTGATGCAGAGTTGCCTAGATAACAAGTATTGATCCTCGTGGATGGCAAGACCATAATAGCAGAAGCTCGGACTTGGATTTATATTATGCCAAATATGTTCAGCCACATAAAGATCAAGAAGATCGGTTTTATGAGACGTACAAAAATGCCACGTTGGCAACTTCACACCTATTTTGCCGCATTACCTGGCAACTTCCGTAGTCTCTTCCTCGAGAGCTGAACCAGAAACTAGCTGTTCTACTTGGCTAAAAAAAATGCGGTAGCATTCAGAAAATCTGTTTATTTCATTTTATGGCCACCGTGCACAAAAATGGCATCCCTTCAACTCATATTGGGAATGATAATCCAAAAATGAAGAAAGGGTCAACGAAAAATACGTATCTAGGAGATCTTGGTCATGTTTCTCAAATGCAAGAAAGTGTCATGCACAGAGGAGAAGAGATAAGAATCGGAACAAGAGAATTTGGGAAATCAAAGAAAGGGTTAGGGATTTGGAATTGGGAATGGACTGACACGTTCTACAGCCACTAAGGTTAGGAAACAACTTGCTTAGTTGTGCAAGTTGTTATATTCAATACAACAAGGACTGCCAACTGTAGGGTAACTAGGGGTACACTGTAATTATATAAACCATGTACTAGAGGAGGAGAAGGCATGCTTTGGATTGAATGAATTCTACGCTTCTTGAATCTTTTCTTTTTTTCTCCTTAATCTTAATTCTCTCCATTCTTCGTCTAATTTCTTCGTCTAATTTCTTCTCTAATCTCTTAGGGTCATAACAATTGGTATACAGAGCCACAACTCCTGGCAAAGCAATGGCTGCATACTCTGTTTTTTCTGCAATTCAACAACAGATTGAAGACTTATCAAAGTTAGTGAAGCAAGATCAATACCTGGAGACAAGGATTGCAATGAATAAGGGTCGTTTGGAGCATATTTTACAGTTGTTGACTGGTAAAGAGTGTGAGCAAAAACATGATGATTCTCAAGTGTTCGATAAATTGCCAACATCAAAGATTTAAACTACTGCTTCTTCTCGTGGATCTGGAAAACATTCTCAGCTCATACCATCAACTCCAAGATGGGATGTTGCAAATGGTGCTGGTGTCATTTTAAGTGTATATGATGAAGAGGTTGCACGCTATGAGACTGCTAGTTTAACGATTGCTGCAGTCCCTGCTCTTCTACTTCCTCCCCCAACAACAGCTTTGGATGAGCATCTAGTTGTTGGGTTACCAGCTCTTGAACCATATGCATGTTTGTTTCATCGGTATTATGCTATTGCAACTCCAAGTGCCACCCAAAGATTTCTTCTTGGACTTTTAGAAGGACCACCATGGTGGGCTACAGATGAACTTGATGCTACCGTGCAGTTTGTGGAACTCCTTCAGGTTGCTGAAGATTATACAACTGGTGAAACACTAGTAGATGAGATAAGTAATGGAGGAGCATTTGTGGGTGATGATGGTCTTCAATTGCCACACAAGATAATACCTAATTCTGGAATGCTTCTTTATGGAGGTGCACAATATCATCGTGCCATGGCTGAATTCCGATTTATTGTGGGAGGGATAAAATGCCCACCAATTACAAGGGAAGAAATTGTCAATGCCTGTGGAGTCGAAGATTTTCATGATGGAACAAACTACTCAAGGACAGCTTGTGTTATAGCAGTTTCAAAGGCTCGTGACACTTTTGAACCTTTCCTCCATCAGTTGGGTTGTCGGCTCTTGTACATTTTGAAGAGATTACTTCCTATCTCCATATATCTTATGCAGAAAGATGGAGAATTTTTAAGTGGTCACAACGTATTTCTCAGGCATGTTGCTTCTACTTTCAACAACTTCGCTGAATCTACTGAAAGAGCTTGCCGTGAGAAATGTTTGGAGGATTTAGTGAGCATAACTCGTTATGTATCCTGGTCCCTCCACAATAAGAACCGGGCTGGGCTACGTCATTTTTTAGACTCATTTGGTGGAATTGAGCCATCCAGTATAGCAGTCAATTCCACATCTCCCGAAAATTCCCAAGATTCATTGATTGGGTATGTTGCTGCAGAGAAGCATGACACCAAGCCAAGAGCAGATACAAAACTCAGCCATATATCTCCAGGCATCGATTCATGCTCTTCTGCTCAGACAGTAGAAACAAAGCTTGCTGACCTTCTAGATAGCACACTTTGGAACCGGAGGCTTGGTCCTTCATCAGAAAGGATTGTTTATGCATTGGTACAACAAATTTTTCATGGCACAAGGGAATACTTCTTGGCCTCTGCAGAATTGAAGTTCAACTGCTTTCTTCTAATGCCAATTGTGGACAAATTACTTGCACATCTCCAGGAAGACCTAGAGTCTACATTTCCTGATGACGATAAACTTGTTTTGATGGCATCCTTGAGTGATTCATTGGAGTATGTTGTGGACTCCATTGAAAGACTTGTAAAAGCAACCCCACTAGCAGCATTAAACCATGCGGAGAGTGGCAAGCCTATGAATAAACAAAAAAACAGTTCACCACCTAGGGATCTGGCATCATTTGCAGATGAGTACAGAAAACTAGCAATTGATTGCTTGAAAGTTATGCACGTTGAGATGCAGCTGGAGACCATTTTTCACTTGCAGGAATTGATATATAGGGAATACCTGGAAAACCAAGATGCAAAAGAGCCTGATGATATTTTTATTTCACTTACTGCGCAAATAACATGCAAGGATGAGGAAATATCACCTTTTGTTACTGGAATGAAGTGGAATTACATATTTGGTGGAATATGTAGTATTGCAGCAAATGCATCACTTAAGGCTTTAGCCAACATGAAATTGATCAACCTTTTTGGAGTTCAGCAGATATGTCGGAATTCAATTGCATTAGAACAGGCCCCCGCTGCTTTCCCTTCAATTGATAATGAAGTTATACAACAGAGACTCGATCATATCCGAACCTATTTTGAACTGTTAAATATGTCATTTGAGGCCCTGCTTGCCTTCATCACTGAGCACAAGCACTTGTTTACCGTGGCAGAGTACTCCAATCTTCTAAAAGTACAAATACCTGGAAGGGAGATACCTCCTGATGCACAAGGATCATTTCAAGGGAAGGGGAATGTCATAACTATATGGGAAGTCAACAAAGAAAGCAGTAGAAATCAGTTACTAAAACAACTTTTGAATCTGAAATTTTTTCAAAAAACTCAAGCAAGGCTGACATTTTTTGCTCAAATAAAATTGACAGACAGAGGCATAAAGACAGAGGACAGAATTTACCTGAAGTTTCGGTCTTACCATCAAACCTCACTTGCTCTTCGAAAAAGATTAAGGCTGGCAGCAAGGGTCTATGGTATTGTTATCTATAGTTTTTGGTGGAAGGTGTTTGGCAACTTGAGTTTTCTGTTTGAAGGTGTATTTAACCTCAAGAAGCACAATCAAGCTATCACTCAATTGTTGCTGCAGTGGACGAACTTAAGGCTAGAAAACATCACTGGGGGAAACTATATTATGTTTAAAGCAATAATCCCAGGTTTTGATCCTTGGGGACAAGGATCCTTTTATGGATGGGGTATTGTCATGCACAGAGGAGAAGAGATAAGAATCGGAACAAGAGAATTTGGGAAATCAAAGAAAGGGTTAGGGATTTGGAATTGGGAATGGACTGACACGTTCTACAGCCACTAAGGTTAGGAAACAACTTGCTTAGTTGTGCAGGTTGTTATATTCAGTACAACAACGACTGCCATTTGAAGGGTAACTAGGGGTACACTGTAATTATATAAACCATGTACTAGAGGAGGAGAAGGCATGCTTTGGATTGAATGAACTCTACACTTCTTGAATCTTTTCTTTTCTCTCCTTAATCTTAATTCTCTCCATTCTTCGTCTAATTTCTTCTCTAATCTCTTAGGGTCATAACAGAAAGTTTCTGTAAAATTGAACCAAAATCAAGCTTTCACTTGAACCAACTTCCGGTGCAGGAGATCCATGTATCATCACATTCGCACCACATCTATAACATATACCTTCAAGCAATGTTATACAGATGTCAGAAATTGTTTCACATAGCAAAAGCTTCGGATTATGAACCTCATATTCCTAGAAAGAATGGTTGATACATAAATAAATGACTAGATCACTTCTAACATTCCATGCAAAGGAACAGAAATATACTAGAAATAAGCAAACAAGCTTTGGAACCAAGTTGAGTTCAAGCATGCCCTCTTAGGTACTATAGTGAGCCAATCATGACAAGAACTAGAAGATATATTTTGTAACTATACTTTGTCTATGAATCGATTTTTCAAGCTTAATGATAGTGGCTTAAAGAATGGGTGACAGTCAGTTGACAAAAAATGACACATCGAGGACATAGAGAATTCCCCAAAAAATTAAAAGCAGTTTATGATCTATAAGTTCCTTATAAGTATATAGAGATCTCTCAAAATTAAGCAAGACAATAAATATCAAGACAACCTCGAGTGATATCAACTTGCTTACCTATTCTTCTTTGCAGCCTATGAAAGAAATATTAATATTCCAACATACTTCTAAAGAGCTCTCTAAATTTGAAAGGAAAATTTTGTTCTTCTACAGAAAACATCACATGGCACTCCAAACATAATCCATTTACAACATATTCTGAGAAAAAGATGGCTTTACACAAAATTTACAAAATTGTTGATGTAGTTATTCTCATCTCCATTTTTTTTCCTTTCATATTGAAGCCTTGTTGCGTGTGCATATGAAGAAATGGAACTGGAGGTCTTGTTGATAAAGAAGTTGTAAAAGACTGTATGAGTAATGAAGCTAATTTGTCAAAACAGAAAGGGATGGAGCTGGCAGGTAAATGAGACCTCCGCTCTTTGGGATGCACTGGGGTAGACACTTCCAATGTTTAACCCATGTTTATGAGTTACTATTTTCTTAAATGAGTTTTCCAAGTGGTTTACTAAATGATATTAGAATAATGGTAGGTACCGTAGGGATTAATAGGAAAAAAAGGTTGGACTAGTGATTCACATGAAAGGAAAAATTTATGGCTTGGGGGATAAGAGACTAGAGGGTGATACAGGGAGGAAATTTTCTGCATGTTATCAATCACATTTTTACCATATTTGTCTGTCAGTTACCTGACTTTTATATATAATTGTGTATGTTTTTTCTTTCGTAGTTTATGGTTGCTCTGTTTATGATCGTGAACTAACATTTTACTTGTTAATTGTATAGCCTCTCAAGATGCATTGAGAGGAAGAACGAGTGATGATCCCAAAACAATGGAGGTTCTATTGTCGAGTGCAGGATCTACTTCTATCAGCATGGATAGGAGCAATCCACTCTTCAGGTGATTAAGATTCACGTAGGCTGCTTCATAAGATTTATGAATCCTCATTTTCTTTTGTTGGTCATTCTTTTCTCGCTAGGCCGTGTACATAATATAGTTCATCACTTGTCTTGTACATTCATGAAATTGTTGAGTATGCTTGATTCCGTTGTAGGACTTTCCTATGGTAAGCATGTCAACGAATGGAATCACGAAAGTGGACAGGTTGATGTTCTGGTAGAATCTCTTGTTATGGATTCCAAAAGTGGAAGCTCGTTGGATGAAGACCGGAGTTTTCCTTTCTTGTAGAAATCATGTCTCTGGCGAACAAATTTTTTGGATAAATTAAAATTTATTACCCAAAGGAGCAGTGTTCTGCTACAAAACAATCATCAATGGAAAAGCAACCTAAAATCGAGAGCAACCTATTCACAAAACATAATATTGGTTATTCAATACTCCAATTCTTACAAAGAGTATTATTGACACTATCAAGTCTACTAATATTCCGACCTCTAAGTTGAATTCCGACTATCTCCTTGATAGCTTTAAGAATTTCAGCTTCATTCCTGGAGTTTCCTTTGAACAACCTTCTGTTTCGTTCCTCCCATAGAGAATAAAGAAATGCACACCATGCGAGTTTCAAAATAGTGATAAGTAAAGATTTACATTTCCAAGCATGAGAAGTCGATGCTAAAAAGTTGTTCCAGGATGAAAAAGATGGCCTTAATCCGGAGAGATGCAGAATGGCCTTCCAAAGGGAATCCGCCAAAGAGCATTCAATGAACAGATGATCTCTCGTCTCCAGATCATCATTGCATAGAACACACAATCCATCGGATATAATGCCCATACGTTGAAGACTATTCTTAGTTGGTAGTCTATCCAAGATAGCCATCCAAGCAATCATGTTGTGTTTTGGTATGTGTAGAGGAAACCAACAATTGAATATATGGATGTCTTCCAAATTGTGCCCCAAAAGCCACATTTTCAACCTTTGGCTGAAAACAGAGAGGAGTTTTGTGAAGGATCAGCAATTGGTATCATGGTAACCTTTGCCAGTTTATTTGAGAAGATATCGGCGTTGTGTATTGATGATCCTAGAGATATATTTGATAGCTTTTTTGAAAGTCTTTGTCATTTGGAAAAACACGGATTTGATATTACATTGCTTAAATACCGCTTGAATAAATTACTATCAATCAAGGAAGGACACGGACAACATGTAAGAGAGAGAGAAAATGTTGAAAGGGAAATGATTGAGAATATAGAGGAGGTAACTAAATTGGATGATTTTTGTCGTAAAATACGTGAATTCAACTGTAGCCATTTAGAAATGGGTAGGTCACATGACTTGAGTAAAAGGTCAATTTCGATATTGGGTCTCCATGTAATAGTCGTTTCACGCACATAGTTTATGGTCTATGGCGTCAGTTAAGTTTAAAAATGATGTTTCTGTTGAAAATGCACGCCACTAAAAGTGCCAAGCAAGTTGGCATGAATAGTCAAACAACATTAATGCACTGAATGTGCGATTGTCAAAAGGGTTGCAGCAATTGTTAATTTTTCAATAATGGTAGAACCTCAATTTTAGCCATTATAATTTGGGATATTTACAAATTAGTCCTTAAGCTTCAACTATAAATACCCTATCTCATTTAGTTTCAAAACCATCCCAAAGCATTCTAGCTTTATTCCAATACTAGAGAATTTAGAGAGTTTCTTGAGAGTTGTTTTCTCCTTTTTATCAAGAGAGAATTATCATTGTTTTCTTCTTGGTAGATCGATAGAAGTTGTAATTCATATTTTCTCATAGTGAAATTCTTTTACTGTTGCTTGTGGTTTTTACCCTATATTATTTAGGGGTTTTCCACGTAAATTTTTTGTCTCTTTTATCATCATTTTAATTTTCTCAAATTATCAGTTGCGATTTTTCTCTATCCGATAGCAGTCTTCCGTAACAATTGGTATCCGAGTCAGATTTGAATGTGTAATATATGCTTATTGTCTTTGTGGTTGCCACCAAAAGGTGAATCCTCTAACATAAGAAAGTAAAAAGGTATTACCCATTCTTTGAAGGTTCTAGAGAACTATTCACGATAGTAAAATAGTGGGAGCTATCCGTAATAGAAGCTATGGCAACAAAATTTGATATTGAAAAGTTCAATGGGAGAAATTTCTCACTGTGGAAATTGAAGATGAAGGCCATCATGAGGAAAGACGGTTGTCTAGCAGCTATCAATGAAAGGCCGGTGGATTTCACAGATGACAACAAATGGATCGAAATGGACGGGAATGTTATGACAAACTTTCATCTAACATTAGCAGATGAAGTATTGTCAAGCATCGAGGAGAAGAATATAGCTAAGGAGATATAGGATCATCTCACCAAACTGTACGAGGTCACATCACTGCACAATAAAATTTTTCTTAAGAGAAAATTGTACACTCTTCGTATGCCAGAATCTACTTCAGTGACGGAATACTTAAATACACTGAACACTTTATTTTCTCAGCTTACATCCTTAAGCTGTAAAATAGGAGAACAAGAACATGTTGAACTTCTACTTCAAAGTCTACCGGATTCGTATGATCAACTCATCATCAACTTGACAAACAGTAATGTCATCAGTCTAGTCTTCGATGACGTTGCAGCTACTGTTCTATAAGAAGAAAATCGGCGCAAGAACAAGGAAGGCAGACAAGTAAATCTGCAACAGACAGAAGCGTTGACAACGACGAGAGGGAGATCAACAGAACGTGGCCAAAGTAGCAGACACAAACATGGTATATCAAAGTCGATGAGCAAGAAGAATTTAAAGTGCTACAACTGTGGAAAAAAAGGGTCACTTGAAGAAGGATTATTGGAGTCTAAATAAAAACTCCAATCCACAAGGTAATACCGCAAACACTTCAGATGATGGAGATGCTCTATACTGTGAAGCGTCAATCACCGTGGAAGGTAGAAAAAGATTTGTAGATATATGGCTCATTGATTCAGGAGCAACATATCACATGACCTCAAGAAGAGAATGGTTCCATCATTATGAACCTGTCTGAGGAGGATCTGTGTATAGTTGCAATGATCATGCCTTAGAGATCAATGGCGTGGGAACCATCAAATTGAAGATGTATGATGAAACAATTAAAGTTATTCGAGATGTGCAGCACGTGAAAGTCCTGAAGAAAAATCTATTATCCTACGGATTGTTGGAAGCAAGATTAAAACATGGAAAGGAATCATGAAGGTGTTTCATGGAGCGCTTGTGGTGTTGAAAGGCGAAAAGATAGCAGCAAACTTGTACATGCTGAAGGGAGAAACTTTGCTAGAAGCAGAAGCCTCTGTTGCCTTATGTAGTTCAGATTCTACAATGCTATGGCATCAGAAACTTGGACACATGTCAGAACAAGGAATGAAAGTCATTGTGGAGCAAAAACAACTTTCAGGCTTAACAAATGTATCACTTACTTTGTATGAGCATTGCATAACAAGTAAGCAACACCGGTTGAAATTCAACACATCAAATTCTAGAGGCAAAAGTGTCTAGAATTGGTTCACTCTGACGTATGGCAAGCACCAGTTGCATCCATAGGTGGAGCAAAATATTTTGTCTCATTTATTGATGACTACTCTAGGAGATGTTGGGTGTACCCTATTAAGAAGAAGTCAGATGTATTTTCAACTTTCAAAAACTTCAAAGCGTGGGTGGAACTTGATTCTGGAAATAAGATCAAGTGTTTCAGAACAGAGGAGAATACACAAGTGAAGAATTTGATGACTTTTTCAGGAAAGAATGCATCAAAAGACAGTTCACAGCGGGGAACACTCCTCAACAAAATGGAGTGGCAGAGTGGATGAATAGAACCTTGTTAGAAAGAACAAGAGTAATGTTGAGGGATGCAAGCCTAGAAAAATCATTATGGGCAGAAGCAGTCAATACCGCCTGTTATTTGGTGAATCGAGCTCCATCAACTGCAATAGAGCTAAAGACACCAATGGAGATGTGGACTGGTAAATCAGCTGATTATTCAAACCTCTATGTATTTGGAAGTATTGTGTACGTGATGTACAACTCCCAAGGAATTTCAAAGCTGGATCTAAAATCCAGGAAATGCAAATTCTTGGGGTATGCTGATGGAGTAAAGGGGTATCGCTTGTGGGATCCAACTGTCAGCAAAGTGATCATCAGCAGAGATGTTGTCTTTGCAGAAGATAAACTACAAAGAAAAGAAGAAGAAGATAGCACTGAAAAGTCAGAGACTACTCAGATACATGTGGAAAAAGAGTTTGAACAATGAGATTCTTCTGAAGCAGAACCAACACATGATGAACAAGAACCAGAGAGTTCTAAAGCTCCAACAACTCGTCAATCAGATCGTGTGAGAAGACATCTCAATTGGCACTCATATTATGTTATAGAAGGTAATATTGCATACTGCCTTTTAACAAAGGACGGTGAGCCATCAACATACCAGGAGACAATAAACAGCTCAGATGCTTCACTGTGGATGATGGCGATGCAAGAAGAAATTGAAGCCCTTCATAAAAATAATACATGGGACCTTGTGCCACTACCACAAGGAAGGAAGCCAATTGGTAAAAATGGGCCTTCAAAATCAAGTGAAATGGTGACGATCAAGTTGAGAGGTATCGTGCAAGGCTGGTGGTCAAAGGATATGCTCAAAAAGAAGGTATTGATTTTAATGAAATATTTTCTCCTGTTGTTCGACTAACAACAGTTCGAGTAGTTTTGACAATGTGTGCTATATTGAACTTACATCTAGAGCAGCTAGATGTTAAAACAGTTTTTTTCATGGAAATCTTGAAGAAGAGATTTACATGCTTCAGCCTAAAGGTTTTGAAGAAAAAGAAAAGAAGAACTTGGTTTGCAGGTTGAACAAATCTCTGTACGGTCTAAAGTAGGCGCCGAGGTGTTGGTATAAGAGATTTGATTCCTTCATTATGTGTCTTGGATACAACAGACTTAATGCAGACCCTTGTACTTATTTCAAGAGGTCTGGTGATAACGATTTTGTTATATTGTTGTTGTATGTGGATAACATGTTGGTTGCAGGACCCAATAAAGATCATATTGAAGAATTAAAGGCACAACTGGCTAGGGAATTTGAAATGAAGGACTTGGGATCAACAAACAAGATTCTAGGGATGCAAATTCAGCGAGACAGAAGTAATAGGAAGATTTGGCTTTCACAGAAGAATTACTTGAAGAAGATCTTGTCACGATTCAACATGCAAGATTGTAAGCTAATTTCCACCCCTCTTCCTATTAACTTCAAATTATCATTTAGTATGAGTCCTAGCAGTGAAGAAGAGAGGATGGAGATGTCTCGAGTACCGTATGCATCAGTAGTGGGAAGTTTAATGTTTGTTATGATATGCACAAGACCAGACATTGCACAAGCAGTGGGAGTGGTTAGTCGGTACATGGCGAATCCAGGCAAAGAGCATTGGAATACAGTAAAGAGGATCCTGAGATACATCAAATGGACCTCAAATGTTGCATTATGTTACGGAGGATCAAACTTACTAATCAATGGGTATGTAGATTCTGACTATGCAGGAGATTTGGATAAAAGCAAATCTACTACAGGATATGTGTTCAAAATTGTTGGTGGAGTTGTAAGTTGGGTTTCAAAATTGCAGTCAGTTGTGGCTACATCCACAACAGAAGCTGAATATGTAGCAGCTACACAAGCCAGTAAATAAGAAATTTGGTTGAAGATGTTATTAGAGGAGCTTGGGCACAATCAAGAGTATGTCTCTCTGTTTTGTGACAGTCAAAGCGCCTTGCATTTAGCAAGGAATCGAGCATTTCATTCAAGGACAAAGCACATACTAGTTCAGTACCATTTTATTCGTGAAAAAGTGAAAGAAGGGACGGTAGATAT